TGTTTATGTCGGCTTGAGAAGCCTTTTGATCAAGATGTAATACGTATTTTGTACCTCATTGTATTTGTATTCAAGTTGTAAAATTATGTAAAGTTGAATGCCATTCCACGTAACTTACGCACTGCTCTTATGGATCACTTGTATTTTTAAATTATTGCTTCCGCACTTGTGAGCCCCATATATATTTATACTCTGATTGTGTGTGAATTTTGAAAGTTGGCCTTCGGTAATCTCGGATTACTGGCCATCACGGCACCATTCTACTAGGGGCGGAATGGGGTTGTGACATTTTAGGTGTTGGAACTTGTTTTGGGATGCGAAATCAATTTTGGCTTCGGTTGGCAAAATCACTCATGCGGATTTGGTAACCGCTCGAATGAAATCACACAGAGTTTTCTGGGATTTTCTAGGTAGAAATCGTTCGTGCAGATTTGGGTTCGCTCGAGCAAATTTTGTGAAAAATTTTGGAATTTTCTATGGAGCAAATTGCCCGCGGAGGCATCAAAATCTGCTCATATGGATTTGGGATTCCGCTCATGCAGAATTCGAACCGCTTGTGTGGATTTCGGCGCGTCTGTCTTGAATTTGAGCTCTTTTTCTCAAAACCGATGTCGAAAACGTGTTTTGTATACTCTCTTACTTCTCTTTCTCTCTTTATGTATATATATACACGCATATTTTCTCCTCATTCTCTATACAAATCCACCCAAATCCAAACTTCTCTCAAAGATTTAGCAAAAATCTTCACGAATTTGATAGGGTTTTTAACATCAAATTGAAGAGGGCGACGAGGGCTATGTTTGCACTGATTGAATCGAGTTTTCTTCAACGTTGAATTTTTGGGTTTTCATCTCCTTCATCTCCCAAGCTTGAGGTAGGGACATTCTTAGAGTTATATATATATATATATATATATATATGTTTTTGCAGGTCTATGCTTGTTTAGAGCATTTCTTAGATGTTTGGACTATGGTTTTGGGTTGATGAACCCTAGTTGATATTAAAAATGGACTTTCTCTATTTTTTCCCAAAACTTTTGAGAGTATGAGCTATGTCCTAAAGTGTGAGTGTTGCTTTGGAAAAATCTTTTCAAAAATGGAACAAAAACCTAGTTTGGTGGAAACCTTAGAAATTTGGAGATTTTGGGAAAAGTGTTGATATATTGTGAAATTCATGCTTGATAAATTACTATGGTAAATAATTGGTGGAAGAATTACTATAGTTGCATCTAATGCGGAAATTTCATGGAGAAATGAGAAATGTTGATTTTGAAGCTTAATGAATAGCTTATTGTTGGTTTGTTGGAAATGCCAAGTTTGAAAATGATGATAAACACGTGGAGAGTGCATGTATGATGATATTATTATATTATCTCTTGGAATATATATTATGATGTTATATTGATAAGAGTTGTGGGAATTTGATCATAATGAAGGATTGTGTGGTAAAATTGAAAATGGAACTATATTAATGTATTGTTACATTTTGCATTGCCATTTCATTTAATCATTGCTACAATTGATTTTGAAACTTGTATGAGAAAATTATTACTTTGAGAAAGGAATTGTTTCGTGAAACAAGATCATTTTGATTTGTTTTGGGGTAAATACGTTGGTAAGTCCGGATAGGGGGTGTAGTTAGTATTGGTTAAGTTGGCCTTACTGTCCATGTTGAAAGACCGAAAACACGCGCAGAGAAGGTACCACGTGTCTTTTAGCTAGCAACCGGTAAAGTGGTGATTGGTAGTGCATGTTATATCTACTTCCAAACACTAACCTAGGGATTACCTGAGACGTATTTATAACCCCTTGAAATACATTGAAGTTGTTGAATTGTTGTATTTTCAAATTGCATTGGGCACAAGATTTTCGAAAGATAGAGATATATATTTTAAGCATGACATTGCATATGCATTCATCTCAAGATACTGTATAAAATGTATATACTTTATTAAGATTTTTTTACTAGGCTTTGTGCTCAGCTTAGTGGATTTTGTATAGGAAAAGATGTGGTGATTCCGCCGAGTTAAAGGCATGAAAAGTATTTTGAGAGCACAAGACTGTTTTTTTTATTGTAATTATTTTTGACAAGCCAAGGGCTTTACATGTATGTGTTTGATAACCATTTTGTGTATCCGGGTATAAACCTTGGAACATGTAACCCTTGAGGGTATTTGAATTGTATTTGACATGTGGTGCCATATGCTATAGATTCATATTTTAGGAATGTTGAATGTATAATTGCATACGGAATACCTTTGTAAATATCTAGAGTACAATGAACACAAATGTTGGAGGTTTGATGACAATGTTAATGATGAGACATTATATTCCTTATTTATATTTATGCAATGGAAGCTATCAAGTTGGAAACAAGGTCATGTTGTTGAAATATGTTTAGTTTCTATGTTAATTTCTTTGGGGCGTTACATCGGTTCAAATAGTTGCCTGGTCAAACCTAGAGTCATCTTTGACTTGTTCACACTCTTTGTACGGTCCAAACCATGCAATCTTTCAACCGACAGCTCGGTTGACGCCAATGGCATGATTTAGCCCTGTCTGTTTGTACACATCCACAGACCAACCCACCTGTGTGGCCCAAATCCCAGACCCATGTCAACCTAGCTCCATTCAACTTGTTCAACACAAATTACCCTCTTTGTTTTAAAAGGCAAACCGGATACAACAAAGATGAAGTTTAGAGAAGACTACCAAATCTTCCTTCACCATACTCAGTTAAAAAAAATAAAAAAATCTTCGTTCACATGAGTATATGATTCTAATTAAGTCTTTTATTATTCACAACATAGCTACCAAAAAGTCATTTTGTTAATCTACTAATGATTTTAAAAGAAAGTGATTTTAAATGATTAGTGTAACAAAATAATAATAAACAAAATTTACAAGCATGAATATCATAATAACAAAACTAAGAAATATAATAAAAACAAAATTTAAATTGAAATTAAGAATGGTAGCATGTGAGAATTTAAGAGTTGCGTTGTCACTATTTTAAAATTAATTTTACTCCATTCAAGAAGGTATTAATAGAACAAAATAGTTAAAAGTTGAAATTCTAATGTTTCCAACTCCTACTAGACTTGGCCAAGACAAAAAATAATATAGAACAATAATGTTAGTTTAACCACTTTTGCTTACCATAATGTGTGTGTCATCTAATGTATCACTACAAGAAAAAACACATTTGGTGACTAAATTTTTAGTCACCAAAAGTCAATTTTTAGTTGCCAAAAATCGGTTTTTTATTTTCCCTGACTAAATTTTTTAGTCGCCAGTTTGGTCGCTGAAAGACGGTCGGGAAAGGTATTGGCGACTGAAAAACTTTTTGTCGCCAAAAAGCAAGTATTTAACGACCAAAACTTTGGTCGCCAATAGTCAATTACATTTTTTAAATTATACATTTACCGATCAATATTTTAGTCGCCAATAGTCAATTATATTTTTTAAAATTATACATTTACCGACGAATATTTTAGTCGCCAATACTCAAGGAATAGGCGTCCAAACCTTTTAGTCGCCAAAAGCTAATTCGTGAAAAAAGAAATATTTACACTCTGCTCTTGTGGATATTCGAATCATCAACCTCCCACACCATAAACCTTATACAACACTCTCTTTCCACTATGCCTCCATAACATCATATGATTATATATGCAACATATGTTATTTATATAGTACATAGACTCATATCACTATAAGAAACTGCACTTTTGGTAACTACTTTTGGCGATGACGTCAATTTTTCATAGCCAAAAGTATATTTTTGGCGACACAATAATGAATTTCGTTGGTAAAAGTAGACCTTTGCCGACGCAATTTACTATCGTCGCTAAAAAAGCATAACATTCTTTAAGCGCCAAAATTATTTGTTAGCGCCAAAATTTCAAAAGTTTTAGCTACGAAGCTTATTTTTTAGCAACACAATGAGCGTTGCTATTAGTGTGCTTACTTTTGGCGACGACAAGTTGGCATGGGCAAAGAGTTAAACATTTAGCGACGACAACAGTATTCGTCGGTAAAAGTTTTGCTAGTGAAACGAGGTGATTTAGTAATTTGTGTTTTTTTTATAACTTTTGAAAGAGTTTTAAATATCCTAATTATTGAATTGTAAAATTAAAGTGATCATTGAATTAGATCACAAAATGAACCCATCAAGCCTAAATATACTCCTAAGTTGAGATGGCTAATTTGAGATAATTAAAACTTTTCCAAAGAATGTGGTTAGATTATCATTTTGTAGAGGGCATTTTATGTATAATCATATTAAATTTCATAGTAAATTTCTTTTTGTAATGTTTATCTTTAAAAAATTAATGGTCTATCTTAAATAACTTATTCGCCGTTCATTTTTTTTCAAAGATAAGTATGACAAAAAAACATGTTACAATTATCAAATTATTTTTTTTTCCTATAAATGATATACATAGAGAGATTTACAAAATAAAAATTTAAATTATCAAAACGAGACTAATAATGACATCTTTAAATGAGAAGTTATTAGTTAGTTTAGTGGCAGCGCCACAAGGAGGTCTACATATATTGTAATTGGTAAAAGGGATGAAGTCTATCATTTTATATTGAGTGATTGAAAAATATAAAGAGATGTAGAAATTTATGATTAGCCTAGGACATAATCACGTCATGCCCTAGAATCAACAAATAATTTTTCCCTTTAAATAAATTATCTCAAGTTTAAGTTTGAAATTAAAAGAAACCTAACCAATTGCTAGAGATGGCAGTGGGGATCCTACCCTATGGATATCTATGGAGATCCTATCCACATATATGGATTTTTTTCATTTTTTTTACCCATCGAATTAATTAAGTGGGGATTTTTAAATACCCATAGGATATGGGTTGGGAATGGGTACCCGCCCATTTCCCATTTCCCCACCCATATGTTGTGTTTAGGGTTCTCAATCTCACGGTCTTCTCAATCTCATTCTCACTCACATAGCAGCGAAGGCAACGATCTACATTGGATTTGCGAAGGCAAAGATCTCCATTGGATTTGCGAAGGCAACGATCTAGTGGCGGCGATCTCCGTCGGCGTTACCACGGTGGTTCTCCGGCGTGGTGAGTTTCTCTATCTCGTTCTCTTGTTCTATTTGTGTTGACAAATTCATCTATTCGATCCTCTTCCTTCTCTTCCACCCTTGTTCTGTGTATTTTCCCGTCGTAATTTGCATTATTATTTTTTTTTTCTTTTCCTTTTCCTTTTCCTTTTCTGTCACTTTCTCAACTTCCAAACAGCCCTGTTTAGGTTTCCCCCCTTTCTCAGGGAGGTTGGTTAAGAGAGCATATGATGCATTGTTGTTGGACGCTGGTGGCACTCTTTTGCAATTGGTGAAACCTGTCGAAGAGACTTACGCATCAATCGGCAGAAAATACGGTTAGCTTCACAGAGTTGTTGCTTTGATTCATGGAAATTTTAACTCAATGTTGTTTAAAGCTATGGATTTAAATCAGTTGTGAATTATGATGCATTTGGAAATTATTAGCTTTGATTTCTCATGTGGAAGATGAAATTTATTTACTATCTATCTATTTTCTTATATTTTTCATTTTTTAATCTAAGCTGTCTAGATATATATTTTCTTCATTTCTCTATTTTTCAGCAAGAATGGGTATTTTTTCAGGATCTGTTCATCGAGTCCTGTTCAGAGCAATTTTCTGGGTTTTCTGCTACTAGGAATGCTGACTAGGATCATGGATGTATTACCCTAGATCCCTGAGTCCTGGTTTATGGTTTTGATGCTCTAGGTGTTTTGGTTGATAGAGAACAGTGTTTGAGCAGCCTACTTTTCTTCCTTGTGTGCCTTGTTAAGGATTGGGTGGGGTCTGGCAGATATTTTTTTTGAGAGCAGTAGTGCTTCTGATAAGGAAAATGCAAAAATTAGAATGCATAGTAGGTTCTAACGAAAAAATTGCCAAAAACTCAAATTTCATGATTTTAAAATTCATTAGTTCCACACTAGTGAATTGAAATTTTATAAGTTTAGTACTACTCTTTTCAACTACTTCCCACATGACTTTTAATCCACCGTCTGCTTCAATCTGAAGAAACTGATGAAGAAAGAGTTAGAACAATATGTATTGGGCATATTGGTGCAATTTCAATCTAATTAGTCATTGATCAACCAAACAGAGTAATTGGTTTTCAAGTCATCCCCCAATTTACTATACGTTTCCAAAACAATATTTAAAGAACACACCTTAAAACACTAGATCAATTTATAT